AGTCAATAATTATTGGGCTATATTTGTGAATAGTTCTAATAGGTGATGTCTTCAGGGGAAACTCAATATTTGTTACCTGGAATCTAAAACACAGCTAATATTTATGAAATTTCTGCTTGTCTGTTAAAAGAAAAAAAGAAGTTCAATCCCAAAGAACTCTAATTATATATTCCTTTAATCCCATCACCACTTTGTAGTCCAAATGTCAGAATCAAAATTTAAATTCTGCTAATAACCCTCAAGGACCACTTCACTCTTCATTTAGCTTTAAAGACTATGTCTACTCACCTGCTCTGGACCACACTAGCCCTTTAAAGAATGTGAAAATAGTATCTTGACTTCGTTCAACAACAGTAGCTCCAGATCTTGAAATCATCTCAAAGAAGCAAAATGTTTCCACGCTTTGCTTTTACTGAGAAAGCTAGTTTAGTCTCTTAACTTGTCTTTAATTTATATATTGGAGTTCTTTTCATTTTCCTGCCCTAATATTTCCAAGTAAACAGTAACTGGTCAGTTAAGTGACGGGCTTGTTTGTTCTGAGTCTTATTTAAATATAAAAATGAAAGGAACAAAATCTCATTTCTAGCCAAAAGGACTCCCATTACAAGATTTTAGCAGCTTCAATAAAACCCAAACAAATCTTTCTGGCTATATTGTACTCTTTTAGGGATTTTCTGAAAGGACTTATAATTAAATCTATGCTCAAAACAACATCAACAACACAAAAATAAACTCAGCTGGACGGATACTGTTCAAAGTTGTTCTTAAGAGTGCTTATCTAAAAGTTGATTTGGGTGGGTTTATTTTTAATCCTCTACCTTGGAAGGAGAGGAACAGGGAAGGAACTTGTATAAAAAGACTCAGAACCGAGGAGGACGGCACCATCACCTAGAGGTATCTGTACAGCCTTTCTTAGACTTGCAGTGAGAAAGAGTAAGCTGGTGGTGAGAGGGAGAGCACACACTCCTGAAATAAGAGGAGCAAGAGGGCAAATGATTGTTGTCATACTCGATGCCCTAAACGTGGTCTTCAAATTGATAAGGCACTGACCAAATTTTCCCCACACTACAACTTGAGACACTGGTGTAATGAAACTGCTTTCAATAAAGCTTAAGAGTTTGCATGCACAGATCTCATTTTCGTTAGATTCCTCTAAATAGAAAAAAAAAAATAGTCACTTTTGACACAAGCCATTTTTAGGGAAGCAAAACCAAAAAGTACTTGAATCATTTTGAAAAGATTGACTTCACAGGGATAATTATTGTCATCAATGAGATTAAATAACAATGTTTGTATCCCAAAACTTAGAAAAAACAGAATACCATTCTGGTTGTAAAATCATAAATTTACTATGTTCCAAAGAAATAATACAAAAGAAGAGAGAGAAAATAAAAGCAAACCCTAAAAGATCACTGAAAACGCCAGACAAACCTCACCCCTTGCTTTATATCATCTATTCACACAACAGCAGTACTACTGTTCCACCAGAGACAGGCAAATTCATCTTCATTTTCAAAAAGGGATCCAATTATTTCAAAAGCCTTTGAAGCAGAGGATTTCTTTTATTAAAGATTATCTTCCGTTAAGCAACACTGGTACCCCTTGTTTGCAGAAGAAGATAATATGGTGGTTTCAAAACTGGTTATAAAGGAATGTGCCTCAAAAACAGGAAGGAAATCAACAGAGGATATATTCTTTTAAAAAGTTAATGGATTAAATCTACTATTATTATTGATTTCCAATTAATACAATGTCCTACAGTTTTGTTTTCAGTAGTAAAGGCATACAGCTTACAGATTTAACCTAAAAAAAAAGAAAAAAGAAAGATTTCTGCTCAAGCCATTTGGCCAGGTAAATTCTAGTAATCTCAAGAGATCAACAGGCTAGGCTGCTCTTAGAGGGCCCCAGTTTCAACTAATATATAGAGTATGTACACTAGACACTGTAAACATTTTTTCCTTCTATAACAATAGTGCTCCTTGGGCTCCCTTATAAATCTTCCAGAAGAGGAATAAAGCCACTTACAAAAACTTTGCAGCTATAAACACCCTAACTCTTGACATACAGAAAGACCCAACACCAAAACAGTCATATAGAAGGTAGTGCAATAGTTATATGGCATTTTCCACACAGAAAAAAAATGTCATTGAAGCACATGCCTAGGGAGAAAAAAAAATACTCAAATTGTCTGGATCCCTTTTTGTAATGTTTACACAAATAATATTTACATAGTGAAGAAAAGAGAATAGGAAGGTGTGTTTGATCAGTTCACTTTCAATTCTTACAGTCTGGAGGCTACAGTAAAATTAATACCTCTGAAAATAAGCAGAGCCCGAACACAGAGGGGGCATGAAACCAAAAATAGTGCTCTGGAAGGTCGTTATGCAGTTATTTTCATAGTTATATTTTAAAAATATGTTACTTCCATATGAAAAATAAGCTTACATGTTCAAAATAACTGTTAAATGAGATGTGTGTCAAATTGCATTTGGTTAGTATTATATACTACTACACCAGGCTGTATAATATGCCAATCATTATGCTTATCATAAACTAGCTTAAATTTAAATTATAATGGGATTTCTAATGAGTTCTTGGCTAGTAGAGAAATAAATGAGTTTAATATTGATGGAAATTCCAACCTTTTGAGTCACTAATTTACTAATTTATTAAGGGTAGGCATAATAGGAAAAAAACTTCATCTTCCCACTAATAAACTACCTAAATATTTAATACATTTTGGTGACATATTTTCTTTACTTGAATTATTATCAGATATCATTTGGTGAATTATAGATAAAAAATTCACCTACACTATTTTAATTCACTTCTCTCACTGGTTTCCATTTGCTTCAAATGCTAAAATAATCTTAAAAAGCAATGACTAATCTTTTGAATGGACAAATTTGAAGACAGAAAAACAATGGCAACTTCTACTGCATAGTGATGTTAAGAGTTTCAGTCAGATAGAAGCCACAATTCTATATACGAACATGAACACTATTCTTACTCTGTGCAAGCACCCATTAATATTTAGAGCTGAAAATATCAAACACATCTTCCAGTTTAGCTCTCTCTTTGGCAAAACTGTGTGATGTCAGGCTCTGACTTCCAGTTGCATATCTCTACAGATATGGTTAACCTGCAACATTCCTATTTTAGCTTATTTATGACAAACAACAATAATAGTAAAAAATCCACAGGGTTCTCATCCACAATATTTTTTAAAAAGCAGATACAATGTTAAAAACACTTATTTCTGAAGAGAAATAAACAAATTAAGGAATTTAAAAAAAAGCAAAACAAAAGTAAGATGTGCAAGGTCTACACAGTAATACTGCTGGCTACCCAGATGGTGTCTTTCTATGTACCCAACGTGGGTTAAGCTTGGGAGGTCATAAATTGAAAAATCATCCAGCACAGGCAACATTTTGCCCTCTCCAGCCCCACCTTCCATAAAACCAGAAATAATGGTATTTCTAACTATACTATATGAGAAAAATATCTGAACTCTTAATATCCTTTCCAAGCAGAAAACTAAATTTAAAAACTTAGCACTCAGAAAAAACTTGTTTACTTTCCTTTGGATAAATTTTTAGCTAATTATTCTGTGGGCAACATTTTCTATTTAAGTTTCAGAGATTTAAGAGTAAAATATTTATGATTTAAAAAATGTACAAAATTCTCTAAGCATACAAATATGAGAAATTTTATGTGAGGCCTAAAGTAATGGAAGTCTATTAGAAGATAGCAGTCAAAAAGCATTTCTTACTCTGGGCACTGCTAAAATTATGATGCCTCATAAGTTTATAACATCCAACACATAGTCTTTGTCCAAGTGTCATTTTTTGCTAAAATCCTAAGGCATCTCACCTTCAAACTCTTTTTCCTTTTTGTAATTCAACATTTATTTTGGAAATTAAATGCGTTATTGCATAGAAGAGCTCTCACAAAACTGCTTGGTCAACTGCTGACAAAATATGGTTTTGTGGTAGGACCTATAGTAAGTTTTCACAAAAATGTTTTGTAATAAAGGAAAGTTGTATGAGAAGGAAAGTTTTGAAACTTAAAATTCCCAGAATCTCAATCTTTCACCTTTTTCCCTTTTAAAGTTATTTTGTATGCTTTATAATAAAATACATACAATACATATATATGTGGAATCTCTTTTAAACAAATATGATCTTGAATCTCATATTGAACAAAAAATGAATATGAATAATAAAAAAAAATAACTGGCAACGTGCATATTAAACACTGTAAAAGAAAATATCCGGACGAATTATCAACACGTCACCTTGAAGATAAAAATCACCTGTGGACTGGTAGAAGGGATAATCCATTGACATGAAAAATGTAATTATTGTAAAATCTTCTCAGAAAAGTTTAAGTTGGGATTACAGTCTCTACTAAGCAGATCTGTGGTCCAACAACAAATTCATATAGAAGGCTAAACCTTAAACCCACTTAAAAACGACCATGTTTCCTAAAACCCACTTGAAAAAAGTGTCTGGCATATGAACACTCAGCCTTTATACCTCCTGCAGGAAAAATGTTCCTCACACAGTACTAAATTTTAGAAGTTTAGTGTTTAAAAAAATCTCCCCTCATCCAAAATAAAACAACCGCCCCTCCCATCCCAAACGAAGCCCAACAACTCACATTATTAACATTTCTAACTCCTACATTCGTGCTGTGAGAAAGCGAGTGAGGCTGCAGACTGATGGAGGCTAAACAAACCTTTCTGGGAGGCTGCTGGTAGAATACCAATAAGTTAGAGTATCTTTACACCTCAGTTCAAAACCAGCTCCTGACGTAACCCATAAGAAACATGTTTTTCCTTTTTAAAGTGTATCTAAAAAAGGTGATTCCCCCCTCCAAAATCAGTACAAAGTTAAAAGAAATGCAAATTAGCTACGATCTATTCCAAGCACAGCACCGCCAGAAGATTCACACACACTATTTGGTGTTTCATGTTGGTTTTCCTTTCATTCTTTTAAGGCAGTGGTTTCCACAGGTCAGTTCAGAGATAAGAAGCATGGTCCATGGCAGTTTGTTTTGCAACTCCAATTTGTTCTCTGGGAATGTCGCACTTCATTCCCTGAAATTAGTGCTTTTTTGGTTCAGAACTCCAAAGGCTGAGACAGAACCTCTGGGCTCTTCCTGGCACAGGGATGGTTTACAGCTGGCGCTCTTGCATCAGTCCTCGCTCTCACATAGGAGCAATGGTTCACCTCTCTTCTTCCTTGGCTTTTACTCAAAAGTCATCAAGTTTGTAGGAACCTAAAAAATATGAGTATGATAAACTGAGAATATTTAAAAGTTGTTTTTCAAAGTACTATTTCTTATCTTTCCTCATCACTTTAAGTAAGCCTAAATATTAAAATTTTTGACCTAAGTATCTCTTTTAAAAAGGAATTTGATAGAAGGTATTGCATTTGTTTATGAATAATGAAAAAAATACACTAGACATTTTTGAGAGAAAAAAATCACTGAGATGAGTGAATACTTTCTAGTAAACTGAAATCTGCATGGGAGAAAGGGCAGAGACAGTATGTTTCTTATCTAACATAAGGGGCTCAGTAGATGTTCACTGAGTGAATAATGAATGAGAAAAGAAGAAGCATGGCTCTAGTATGCTGAGATTCCAGATAAACATGCTTGTCATCATTTATTTTCTCATTATATGCATTACAATGAATTCCTACATGCAAAGTTTAAAATCCAGTGCAGATTATTTTATAACAAATGTTACTAAGAATTTCTTTGTTAAATCATCTTGAAAATAAGTATGAAAGAATAAAACTCATCGTTATATTTCGTGACTCTGAAAAATTAATAGGTTATATAATAGTTTGCTGCTTATAGATTGGATCAAATTTAACTTGATTTCTTACCAGTCTGAAATTCAATAATAATTCTTTGAAATATGAATATATTTTGTTTTTTAAAATTAGTTGACGAGTTCTCTAGTCAAGGACTAAAGAGGGTTTCACCATGTCAAAAAAAAAAAAAAAAAAAAAACAACGCTCTTCCAAAGTTGTGCTATCAGCTATCTCTGTCCGAGATATTCATTTATACATCAGTGGTCATTTCTCTGTCCTTTTAAAACAGCTTAACAGCTCTCACACTTCAGCAATCTTTTTCTGAAAACCTAGGATACTCAAAATAAATGAATCTCTTACATATGTCGGCTTCTGAATGAAAAGTTATTTGACAATACAACCCTAACTGAATTATAAATCAAATACAATACAAATGCTCAAGTGCTTAAAGTATAAATTCTCAGGCCTTGTTATAAGAAACACATATTTAAATAAAGTAAAAGTTCCATTTCCTCCTAAGTTGCCTGAATGTGGTTTAAGATGCTGTATTTGAGTCAATTAGTCTTCTACTAAAAATTTCAAATTCCACAGCTTCTATTTATAAATTTGCTACTACTCTGATTCTTGCAATTATAGAAACAAACAAAAACCATTTATACACATCTGGTTGGCTTGTTCAGCAGGAAGTTCCAATAACACAGTAAAAGAAATTGACCCTCTATGCTGGTGTGCATACGCTGTCTAGATTAATCTTGAAATCTGAGATTTTTAAAAGATGATGCTTAATACTTTAAGCTACACTTAAAAAAAGTATAGCATGGAGTTGAGTCCTAAAAGCTTAGTCTAGGCAAAAGAAGGTCTGTTTCTTTCATTCTGTCCCAGACACTAATTGACACTGGTTGCCTTGACAAGGGCAAGAAAGTAACTTTTGCTCTGTGGCATTTTGTGTCTTTAATGGAGGTTGTTAAAAATGGTACCAAATACTGCTATTAGTCTGTCATATATATTTGAAATAAAAATTATAGAGAACAAGGCCCATTCTAACAATGTTTAAAAAGAATGGACCTAAAGGATGAAGACTGAGTTTGTGTCTCAGGTCCACCAGTTTTTACTTGTTTGACCCTGTGTAGGTCCATTTAGCATCTCTGAGCCTCAGTTTCTTCCTTTACCAAAAAAGGGGCAATAATTTAGGTCGTGATATCACGGGATGAAAAATACTTTTATATGCTTTATAAACTTATGTAATTATTATATTATTCAAAATTAGCTACTGATAATATTTACTATATATTTCTGTATTTCAGTACCTTAAGTCAATGATTTTCATATATATTCAACTAAAAGTTTACAGAAATTTCTGTAACTGCAGTTATGTTTATTTTATGTCCACTTTACTAATTTGTAGTTCAACTTTAAATCTGCAACAGAGTTTGGGGCAAACAACACTATGGATTCATTCTCCTTTGCAGCTGAAAGCCTTTGAATTACACCATCTTTGTGTCAGTAAAATAAAAATAAGAAAATCCATATGGTTTAGGGTTTCACTGCAACCACAGGAACCCACATCAAGCTGTCAATAGAACAAATAAAGATGAACCAGAATAATTTTTATTAAAGTGCCATCTAATTTTTACCCCCTCTAGAGCTACACACCCTGGCCCCTCACTACACTCCACCAACACAGGCCACAGTTCCCTATTTTGAACCCCTTAAGCTCACTCCAGCTTCAAGGTCTTTGCACTTTCTGTTCCCTCTACCAGAACTCTTGTTCCCCTTGAACTTTTTATTATTATTATTATTTTTTGTGTGTGTGTGAGAGGAAGATCAGCCCTGAGCTAACACCCGATGCCAATCCTCCTCTTTTTTTGCTGAGGAAGATTGGCCCTGGGCTAATATCCGTGCCCATCTTCCTGGATTTTATATGGGACGCCACCACAGCATGGCTTGACAAGCGATACGTCTGTGCGTGCCAGGAATCCAAACCTGCAAACCCCATGCCGCCAAAGCAGAGCGCGCACACTCAACCGCTGCGCCACCGGGCCGGTCCCAACTGTTCCCCTTGATTTGACAAGGCTGTTCCTTACTGTCACTCATGTCAATGTCATCTCCTTAGGGGGATCTCTGCTGCTCACTCTTATTTATTTAAACTTGCGTCGACTCCCATCACTCTATATCACATGATTCTATTTTGTTTTCTTTATATAGTTTTCACTCTCTGAAATTTTATTTGTTCACTTGTTTATTGCCCATCCCCTCACTAAAATGTGGACTTGATGTCTTGCTGACCGCTGTCAACAAGAAAAAGAAAAAAACAATACCATTTTCCCACTTCATTCAGAAAATTAGTCTACTTACTTCTCTTTGGAACCCTTTTAAATATACTCGCAAGTTACGGCCTACTCTGAAGATCAGGAGAAAGGCTCACCTGCTGTCTATTACTTTGGCAGGCTGCACTTAAGTGCTTAAACCACAGCATTGCATTCATCCTACTGCCAGCTTGAAACTTGTAGGAATTTCCTAAAATTATCAAAAACAAGGGGAAAAGAATAAAAATGTAAGAACTCTGACATATAATAATTCTCCCAGGTATCAAAGAGCAAAATAAAACATGACTAGAGTTCTCAGTTTCAGAATTCTATTTCTCTAACACCTGATTTTCCAATACAAACAAAAAGAAGAGTTCTCTATGCCACATTCACATACTATCATTTATTCAGAAAGTCACTGTTTTGCTACTTATGAATTGGAAGAGAAGTAATCTTACTTCTCGCCTTAAATGTTCTTTAGAGGAAAGTATATCTAAATAAAATAATTGTTTGGTTTCTCTATATTTGTATGTGTGAATGAGAGTGCAAAAATTGGTTCTCAATACTGCTTAGATGATCTAAATATTTGTAGACATTAAGTTTTTAAAGCCAAAATGGTTTAACATGTTTGACATTTAAACATTAGCTATTTAATGTGATTAAGGATTAATCAACTAACATCAATATGCTTTTAGTTTTTAGTTACATTTGTCAAAATTATTATAGATTCCCAGGTTTATTGAGGGCTTTTTGGGAAAGTCTGAGGAGGCATCTTTTTCTTCTTTAGAACATTAGAAATTCATCTGTGTTGTTGTATTTAGTAGACCTTATGTTGACTCTAATTCAAGACTGACACATAATAACGATATTTTATATGGTTATACATATTAAGGTAATAAACTGAGAAAAGAAAGGATTCATGTACTGTAGGCTTTGCTAAGTAGAACTTTATTCCCTTTTTTCATTTACTTAAGTTCTTGTTATTTCCCAATTCTTACTGAATCCTATTCTTTCCTTTATAACTGTATTCAATGGCTCAAGAGCCTAATCTATGTTTAGGCGTTATACAGCTTTTCCTTGAGATTTTAAAACTCAAAGAACTTTTTCACTTTCAGAAGCAATAGTTTTTCTTTACCAAATGTTTTATTATTCAAATAATACTGTTTTCCTTGTTGAACTCAGATTCAGACATTAGATCAATCTGAATAGAAGGCATATCTACAATTAAGCTTGCCATAGCTGCCATTTATCTACTCTCTCCTCCCCCGAAAAAGACATTAGTACAGATTTCATAAAAATCTTGGCTACCATGAAACAGTTCTATCAAGCACACTAAGGAAACTGAAGGAAAACAATGAATTTGTTAACTAAACCCAACGAAAATGATCTCCTTTTAAAATGTAATTTTATGAATAATGCCTTTGGGATTTTGGGGGACTGGGGCTTTGAGTTCAGAATGTTGAGCAAGGAGTCCTTACTCTATAAATCAATCTATTTCATCTCAAAACAAGACTATTTTGCTATTATTTTTTTCTGCATCCAATATATGTACTTACTTGAGTTTTTCCTTAAAATACCATAACATCCTAAAAGCAGAATATCTGTTGATATAAAACACATTCTGAATAAACAGAGGTAAAATATAATTGTACAGCCCATAAAAGGTAATATACTATCATTTTAGTTGTGAGTTGCTGGAGTAGAGAATTCTGGGGAGGTATGAAAGAATTTCCTTTGTGGTGCTTATCAACAGCTGGCAGTTGTTATGAAGCCATCATGTAAGGATCTGTGCTGACCACCGCTTGAGGTCTCCACTACAAGCACAGTAAGGAGGCGTGATGTGATTCTACACAGCCTACCCTCCAACTTCTCTCATCCGCTTAAAAAACTCCTATGGTCAATAGCCAATAATTTCATTCATAAATGTCTCTATATATTGTAAGCAAAGTACTGTAATTAAAATCATACTTATTTGGAAAGCTATTTGAGTCAAATAACCAATTAATTTAATTAAAAGTAACAGAATAAAAATCATTTAAAGAAAAACCTCTATCACATTCAGAACTTAAGAGCAACAATTCATTTCAGGGTATAAATGAAGGGATACTGCATATATGGCAAATCTCTGAGATTTTAAAGTAACAGCAGCCTATAGATTCTTAAATTCCTCTTTTCCTTCCCCTGTCTCCCTCCCTCCCTTACTGATTATTAGCTCTCTAGGGATTACTTGGGCTTTTATTTGCAAGCTTATGCCCATGCAGCAAAGAGAATAAGTTTATTAAGTAAGCAATTAATAGATATTGATATCTAAAAGTACTGACATCGTTACTACACATTATGTGACAGAAATATTTCCCAAGAGATAAAAGTACACAAACATGCCCCCAGTAGGGTATTCCAGTTAAACTAGGTTTTGGCTTATGGAAAGTTATATATATGCAGTATCTTAAACCCTAGTTATTCTAATGATTCACCTTTCTCAGAGTCAGTCAGCAAGAAGAGATCTGGATGTTCTGGGTCATCAGCCATCATCACCATCCATCCTACCACAGATACGTTCTTATTTGATGTTGATTTGAACTGAGAGATAAAAAAGATAATTAATGGAAACACAAAATTTATGGCTCATCTTAAGCAAAAATTTAGTGTTAGAGTATTTTCCATTTCTCCTAGTGAGAGATGAGATTTGTGACTTTACGCTGGTCAGGTCTGCTCAGGGCCTTTTACTACTGAATTCCATCTAGGCGCGCCCTCTTTAGATAGTGTCCTACTCTCCAGATCGTTCCCAGCTTCAATTCTTCATCAAAACCTAACTGTCCTTGGGGCCAGCCTGGTGGCGTAGTGGTTAAGTGCGCGCGCTCCGCTTGGGCAGCCTGGGGTTCACGGGTTCAGATCCCGGGCGTGGACCGACGCACTGCTTGCCAGGCCATGCTGTGGCAGCGTCCCATATAAAGTGGAGGAAGATGGGCACGGATGTTAGCCCAGGGCTGGTCTTACTCAACAAAAAGAGGAGGATTGGCAACGGATGTCAGCTCAGGGCTAATCTTCCTCACACAAAAAAACAAACAAAAAAAACCACCTAACTGTCCTTGTGTCCATTCCCAAAGAGCACGATCTGTTAGTGGATCTGATAAATTCACCTATGTTGTCTTTTTCTGTTGCCATGCTATCCCTCAACCCTTCTTTATGGGAAATAGCTTGCATTTTAACAGAGGTGTTATCTTGTTTCCCCCAGCTTTACTGAGATATAATTGACATACAACACTGTGTAAGCTGAAGGTGTACAATATAATAGGGGTGGTATCTTAAACCTGATGATTTAATAAACCAGCAGTGCTTTCAGACAATTCTTAATAATGTAGTCTTGTATTTCTCAAAAAAAAAAAAAGGTATTCTTAGCATGCTTGTTACTTTTCTAGTTATTCTTTTTTTAAGTTACACTTTAGAAATGAAAAAAGTGCTGTTACAAAAGAAGAGAAAATTAGGTTAATCACATCCATGAACATAATGAAGAAATATTAAATAAAATATCAGCAAACTGAATCTAGCAGCGTATAAAAAAGCTGATACATGACGACCAAATTGGATTTGTCCCCGGAATGTGAGGCTGGTTTAATGTTAGAAATCAATTAATGCAACTAAGTTCGGTTCCTTTCAAGAAAGCAAGGTCAGTTCAACTTTAGAAGAATTATTAAAGCAATAATTATACCATATTAACAGATTAAAAGAGGAAAAAATATGATCAACTCAGTTGATGCAAAATAAAAGCATTTGCTAAAATATAATGCATATTTATGATAGACTAAGAATAGACGAGAACTTCCTAATTCAATAAAGGGTATCTACCAACCAAACAAACCACCACCACAAAAACCAAACCAAAACAAAGCAGGAAAGAGAAAAAAAAACCCTGCAACACATACACTCAAGGGTAAAACGCTAAGCACACTTCAAAATTAGTATCAAGACAAGGATGCCCACCATTGCTACTTCCATTCAACACTGAATTGGAAGACCTCGTCAGCTCAATAAGATAACAAAAAAAAAAGAAAAAACAAATAGGGGCCGGCCTGGTGGTGCAAGCAGTTAAGTGCGCGTGCTCTGCTGCGGCGGCCTGGGGTCCGCTGGTTCGGATCCCAGGCGCGCACCGACGCACTGCTTGGCAAGCCATGCTGTGGTGGCGTCCTATATAAAGTGGAGGAAGACGGGCACATCTGCCCGTCTTCCTCAGCAAAAAAAGAGGAGGACTGGCAGATGTTAGCACAGGGCTGATCTCCTCACAAAAAAAAAAAAAAAAAAGAAAGAAAAAGAAATAAAAGGCATAAAGGTGAAGAAGAAATAAAATTGCCATTACTCACAGATCATATTTATAAAAAAATCCATCACAATCTACCAAATTAATAAGAAAGATTAGCAAGAATGCTTGGAAAAGCTCAATATGAAAGTTAAGTGTAATGCTAGACACTAGAAATATAAAAGTCATTTATAAGAAAGGTACCTAGGAATACATGTAACAAAAGACATACAGGAAAGTACAATAGTTAACAGAAATTCAAGAAGAACTAAATCAATGGAGAAATACCATGAGATGAAGAAAAAGGTTCAATGTTGTAAAGATGTCAATTCTCCCAAAATTGATCTAAGATTTAGTGTCATTTCAATAAAAATTCCAGTAGGGTTTATGTGGAATTTGAGAAGCTGATTCTAAAATTTATATGTAAGAGCAAAGGATGAGAAATAGCCAAGACGCTCCTGAAAAGAATTAGGTAGGACTTGCCCTGCTACACGTCAACACTTACAAAGCTACTGTAATTGAGACCAGGAGCTGTTGGGACAGGGACAGACCAACGGGGCAATGGAAGTCTAGAAAGCAATCTGTGCACATAGATGCAAATTCATATGACAAGAGTGGGCTCTGCAGATCAGTGAAGGAAGAACGAACTGTTCAATAAACGGTGCCACAAAAATTAGTTATCCACACAGAAAAACCATGAAAATGAATGCCTACTTCACATCACATCTCACACACACACACCCACACACACACACCTCTGACTACTCCAGGTGGATCAATGATTTTAAAGCAAAACGCAAAACTTTAAATCTATTAGTAGAAAATATAGGAGAGATTATCTTAATGATCTCAGGTTAGAGGGGATTTATAAAACGACTCAGTCAGAAAGCATTAACCATAAAGGAAAAGATAAATTTTATTACCTTAAAATTAAGAACTCTTCACTAATAGACATCACAAAGAGAGTGAAAAAAACAAGTCAAACTGGAAGAAGACATTGGCAACACATAACTATTAACAGATTAGCATCCAGAATATATGGAGAATTTTTACTAATTAGTAAGAAAACATACCACCCAATAGGCAAAATATTTATTCAGGCATTTTACCGAAGAAGCATGAATGACCAATAAACATGAAAAAATGTTCAAACTCATTAAGTAATCAGAAGTATATAAATTAAAATCATGAGGTACCATTTCATACTTAATAGATTAGCCAAAACTAAAAAGCCTGAAAATAAGAAGTATGGTGAGGACATGGAACAACGAGGAGCTTCATTATGCTGCTGGCGAGTGTGTAAATCAATTCGGCATTTTCTTGTGAAGTTGAACATTTGCACTCCTAGGTTTATAACATAGAGAACAAATGCACAAAAATATTCATAGCAGCATTGTTAGAGACAGCAAAACACTGGAAACCATCCAAATATCCATCAACAGTAGAATGATGAATAAATTATGGGAAATTCATAAAATGGAAGGGTATTCAATTGTGTAGAGGAATAAATGACAGCTATATGCATCAACAGTGATGAATCTCAACAATAGTAAGCAAAAAAGGCAGTGCTTAAGACTATATATGTGAATCCATTCAGGTACAGTTTAAAAATGAAACAATGTGTTAAGGAAACATATATGGTAAAATTCTAAACAAAAACAAGGCAATGATTACCATGAAATTCAGGACAGTGATAGGCCGTGGGTATGGCTGATATGAAAGGAAGATGATGCTATTTGGGAAGACCTGGGCTGTTCTGGTAATGTTCTGTTTATGCTGGGTGGAGAGTTATGTAGGTGTTCATTTTATTTACTGTTCTTTAAAATGTACATGTACACTACACATCTTCTTTTGCATGTATATGTTTCACAATTTTAAAGAAATGGGAGAAAGAATGAACACAGCACATTATTTGTAATAACATGGGTACAACAAAAAGGAAAGCGAAAGGAAGTAAGTTTTAATACCATGAAGAATGAAATTGACAATACCATAGAACTGCTGATTTGACAGCTTATACTTTATATCAAAGTGGATAGCAGGATTTTCTAATATTCTTTTCCGAACCCTAAAATTTTCTGCTTCAATTGTTTCTTCTTTCAATTAAAAAAAATAAGTAATTCAAGCAATATGTCTCCTCATATAGAGGGGTGCAGCACATAGAGTGCAAATGGCCCCTGATAGTCTGTTTCCATACACCATGGCCAATGCTATATTATCAATCTTTTAAATTTTTGCCTAATAGCAAAAAAAAAAAAAAAAGGCATCTTTAATCTGCATTTTTGATAACTAGTGAAGCTGACATCTTTTCATGTTTATTATCCATTTATATTTCGTCCTCTATTTATCTCCATTTTCCATTTTTCTATCATTCTGTTTGATTCTTACTGAGTCATGGAAGGCCTGTATATATGTTATAGGTTTCTTTTTCAGGTGCAGTCTTGGTTTTTAAAATTTAACTAATCAAACAATATTAATTCACTTGTTATCATGTAGTGATAGGCTCAAATATATCTGCAATTTTTTTTACAGTAAACATACTTCCATTAAAAAATATTTTTAGGGGCCAGCCCTGTGGCCTAGTGGTTAAGCTTGGCACGCTCCACTTTGGTGGCCTGGGTTCAGTTCCTGGGCGCAGACCTATACCATGTCGTGGCGACCCACATACAAAACAGAGGAAGACTGGCACAGATGTTTGCTCAGGGTGAATCTTCCTCAAGCAAAAAGAGGAAGACTGGCAACAGATGTTAGCTCAAGATGAATCTTCCTCAGCAAAACAAAACAAAAACATGTACAGTGTATGTTTTCATTTTGAAACATTCAAAAATATAGACATAATAAAACAAGAGTTCCCCCTGCTCTCTCCCCAGTTACTCTACTTTCCCAAGCCTACTCTGCTTCTCATAGGCAAAAAAAAGTATACTTTAGACAGTAATAATATATAGGTATTGTAGGCTTACAGATTTTCTCCTTCTGCATTTATATACACAAATAAACAGGTATATTTTCATTAGCAACTTTTTTCCTCCTCCAGCTTTTAATTTTGTAAAGGCTGAAACCATATAGAGCAGTTGAAAGAATGCTACAAGGATCACCCTCATATCTACATGTTGCATTTGCACGATCTCTTTGAACATTTAAAGCTGCAGACGTCATAACACTAAACTCTAAATATTTCAATGTGTATCTCCTAAGAACATATACCTATATAACTATAATGTAAGTATCACATCTAAGAAATTTAACAAACACAATCATATAAAGTCCATATTAAAATTTCTTCAATTATCTCAATTATGACCTTCACAGTTTTTAAAAAAAATTACCTCCAGGATTCTACCAAGGTACATACGTTGTATGTAGTTGTCAAGACTCTTGATTCTCTTTTAATCTAGAACAGTCCTCTTGTCCCCCTACCCCACTCTGTCTGCCAAATTTTGGTCTTAAGAATCCTAGCCAGTTGTCTTGTAGAATGTCCCACAATCTGGACTTGATTGTTGCCTCATGATTAGATTCAGGTTAAATTTTTGGCCAGTACACTAAATAGGTGGTGCTGTTTATATAAAAGATTTTAATCCTTTATCTGTTACTTATATATAGCAAATATTTGCTTCCAATTTGCATTTTAATTTTGTTTGAAAATGATTTAAAAAATTTTTTCCTTCATTACTTTTAGTTCTGTGCCATATCTCTTCTATCCTAAAACTGATACTAAATATAAACAAGGAACTGTCTCTATACCCTCTATCTTGTTCTTATGATTCTTTCTTTAATCTTAACAGTTTTAACTAAAAGGATCAGAAATACCTACCCTGTATTTTCTTGGCACTCAATTTGATTTCCTCACAATCCACTATGCTCTAATTTCTAAACATTTCATATACATTATCTGTCAGAAACCTCATATAATTAAAAAGCCAAACTACTGTTATTAATATGCAGTGTCATTGTGTAATTTATAAGCAGTAAAAGGACTTAAATTTTTTTAGTGGCTTACCTTTCTTCAGTGTGGTAAACCACTTAAATCCCTTGCAAAATACATAATTTAGAAATAAAATTCCTGTCAAAGGGATTTTATTAATGTAACACGGAAAATTATTCTTCCTCTCAAAGATTGTATCACTGGCATATAAAAACAACACAGCACACAAAAAAAGGTTTATATAAAGATTCTACATTTGAAGAAAAGAAAGTGACCATAGTAACCATAGCAACTATTATTCCTCTTCACTGTTGGGAAATTACTCAATCAGAGATTGAGGTGGCAAGAACTTTAGACGATGATCTCAATTTTTCACATTTTACAGATCAGGAACCAAGATTCCAAGGCAATAGCTTTCAACCATGTTCTGAACAAGAAACCCAGGTTTGGGAAGGATTTGATGCCAAGATAAATATTTGTAATTTGCAGTTTTGACATTTGCAATGGAAAAATAGCATTCAAAAAGGAAACTTCAATATATGGAAGTTATTCCAAGATCTTTGAAATGGTCTTACTAAATAAAAATAATTCCATTACAGTACTCATATAAGGAATCAGTTTAAGAACTTTTGGATTATAATATAGAAAAAAAACAAACAAACCGTTGCATTCCATTAGGACTACTTTCTTTACAACCATGAAGAAGTTGTGAAACTATGCTAACAATTTAAAGGAGGAATACTTACATGTTTTCTTTCTGTGGCCTTTAGAGATTTGGCAGCATAGTAAAAAAGCTGTGTCCCACACAAAGCCGCCCAATATTTTGTCCAAGATGCTACCTGGAGAGGACAAACACATGAATATACTACTGAAATGCTACTGGCTTCTCAGTCTCTTTACCTTCTTAGTGCCAATGACCTTTAGCTCTACTCCACTTTAGGCATCTTAGCCTAACTTGAGAGTTGTATCACTTCTGAAATCTTTATCTCAAATATTCCTATCACTTCCACTTAATATACTCCACTAGTACTTTCAGTCAGATAATTATTGATTTCACCAAGAATCCTATCACTTTTTAATATTATCTAGTATTGTCCCTGCCTCCTCATCCCATCTTCTCCTCCCCTTTCTTCTTAGCAAGCTTATATTGCATGGTCCAGCACTATATCCATTCCCTCCCAAATACTTTAATCTCACTGCTCTTCTCTCCTGACCTAACCCTAGTTAAGTCTAACCATTTGATTAATTGGCACCACATCACAATAATTGTGCCAACTGATAAAATTATGACCACCAATCTCAAAAGGAAATTAATAGTATTTCACTTTTACCCAATCAAATCACTATACTCTCTCTCTCTGGAGACAATTATTTCATACCTTCTCTTCAAAATTCTAATATTCTACCCCCTAATGATATCACTGCATATTTCCTAGAGAAAAACAGATGAAATCTGGTGAGGACTACCTCATATTCCCAGATCAATTCCTTCTAACTACCTATATATAGACCCACACACTCAGCCTTTCTTCTTGCTACAACAGAATAGTTAACTCCGCTTCTATCAAAGGAGAAATGCAACTCTCCTTTGATGCTCTAGATTCCTACTACCTCTCACTTTCTCCAGGAATTGGTTTTTGCAAATTTACTCCTCTTCACTGCATCTCAATTTCTCTCCCTCTACCATCATTACACAAATGAGACTTAATAGTACTCTCATCTTTAAAAATCTCTCCACTGACCTGTCAGATACCATTCAACTTCTCTGCTCCTTTTCACAGCATAACTTCTTGCAAGGTTGTCTCTAATTCCTGACTTTATTTCTATTTTGCCCATTTTTTCCTCAACTTACTTTCAATTAGGCTGCTGCTGTCAAGGTCACTAATCACTGACATTTTACTAAAGCCTCTGGTCTCATCACAGTCAACCTCTTGGCAGCATCTGACACAGCTGGCCACTCCTTCTTTCTTGAAATACTTTAACTGGTAGGCTTCTATTCTAAGAGACCATTAGCTTTCCTCTATGCCCTTCTATAGCAGACCTTTAAACGCTACAGAGTTCCAGCCCCAGCTCTCTTCTTCCCCAGCTACACTTTCCTCATAGATAATCCATCTCACCCAGTCCCATACTTCAAATACTACCTGTATGCTAATGACTCCCAAATCTTTATCTCTGGCCATCACCTCTCTGCTGAACTTTTGAACTGTACTTTTTAAAGAGCCAAAATGACATGCCCCCCTTAAATGTCTAATAAGCATATCAAACTGAACTTGGCTGAGACTTTCCTGCCACCTCGCAAAAAACTTTCCGTATTTCAATAAATGTCCCCAACATTCACCTAGCTTAGTCCAAAACCCAGAAGTTATCTTCACTTCCACTCTTTCTCTCATATATCACATCTACTACATCATCAAGCAACCCCACTCTTTCTCTCCTCCACCTCCTCCACCTTCAGTGCTTCGACCATACAGGCCTTCTTGTTTCCTGAACCCGAGATCCTCACATGGCTAACTCTCCTTTCTTATTCAGATCTCGGCTCAAATGCCTTGCTATGGTGACATCTCTCCTGATCCTATCATTCTCCATCCCATTACCTTATTTTAAGGGCTTATTTTCGATTTCTCCTCATTGGAATGTCACCTCCGTGAGGCAGACACTTCACCTCATCTTGTTTGCTGCTCTATTTCTTGAATCTGGCACATAATAGGTGTGGTAATGCCTCCACTGACATGTTATTTCTTAGTTCACTAGCTGGCCTAGTATAGCTTCTTGATTGTATGTGCCTGAGGTTTACTGTAATGTAAGCAGCAAAATCAGATTACTCAAATGTAAACCGTTTTTATATTTTAAGAAGCCCTCATATCTTTAAAAGCTTTAAGCGTGGATATATGTCAAAGGTTTTATTCCAAATTAGATAAATTATAATATTTGGGAAAAGGAAAAAAAAACTTTTTTCATTAGTAGTCAAACTACTGTGCTGCTGAGGAAGAACAAAGTTTTGTGTTTCATGTGAAAAGCTTTGTTCCACTAAGCTTTTTTTTTTAAATATAATTATGGTTTGGAGGACATTTAATATCTGGGTTCTATTTTATGTAGGAAAACAAAACTGCATTACAGAGATTTAAATAAACAACTTAGGACTGACAAACTGGTTGAATTCCATTTCTTAGGGTTGTTACTCCCTATTCTTCATTTTTCCTACACTTATTACTAAAATACTTCTTAACAATATATCCTTTCAAGGTTCATGAGAAATGATTTTGTATAAGAACTACATTAGGGGGCAAAGAGAAGTACAGGAGTACCTTGATTTAAGCACCCTAAATGTAGGATTTAACTGAAATCTAAACTAAGAAACATGGCGAGGCAAATGCATATTTTAAATTATTTCAAGTGTACTACATATCCGGTTTTATTTCAATTTTCTTCATATTTTTTAGAGTCCTATACATTTGCATATTTTTAGAGGTGTGTTAAAATATAGTAAAATCTTACTGTAGGCTTTTTGCCTTCTTTTAACAAAGTTTTTCTCCTGAGAACACCTTGAATAGTAACAGCTCCTGGATATAAATGTACTGCCAAATCTTCTGATTCTGCAGAACTATAATAATAAAATGAAAAAAAAGAACATGTAAGAGCTTTTGTGTTTAGCAGTTATCAAGGAGGTACTTAAACGAAATGTAATTATTCTTAATTTTCAAACTTTGTTACTGTATGCAGAATAAGAAGACACTGACAATTATAAAGGTTCACTGACCTGAAATTTATAAGCTGTCACAAAAGTTAATCAAGAAGTTATTAAAGTCAGTAGATGGTTAAAAAACACACATTTTATTACATATTTTGAACAAGTATAATTTAGGAAAATAGAATAATTCACTTTAGTGAAGATTAAATTAAGGATTTAAGACTTTTTCTTCTTCTTAACATGCCACATTGCATCACTGCTGTAAACTTTTTTCCCCATTAGAAACTTTAAGTCCTGGTAGGAAAAATGAGGATTCTATTTGTTAAAAGTATTTAAGCATATAAAACTCAAAATAAAAATAGCAGAAGCTTAAAAAAGGAAAAAAGAAAAAGAAAACCCATGCTTAATTTAATTCTAAAATAGGTGAAAAAAGTAATAAAGGCAATAACAACATACTTAAAAAACTGGCTTTCTGCAATAAATTTTAACGACATTTAAATGCTGCCAATTTGTAAGTGTGTGATTACAGCCTACAGCTCTCCAACAAAGGAATAACTTCAAAACTCAGGATTTTCTCTTCATGTTTCTGAAGAAAACCATCACAAAAGAACCAAACATTTAAATATCTTTCCCCAACTGATTTAAGGTCCTATGTTTAAAAACAAGAATAATTTCTATATAAGTCAATTAAAAAATACACACACACTAACAAAAAATCTGTCATTCTCTGGTGATTTGACATGACCGGCAGAATTCCTACAACAGCCAAGAAAATAGAAGTTTGCTAGTTTATCCCTTTATGATTACTTAGGTGTCTTCAAAGTAATGTAAAAACTTAAAAACCACTAGCAATTTCATGCTAGAGCTATTTATATTCAAGGAGATATACACAAGGGGATTAGACACCATCAAATTGACATAAAGTTCACTTCTAAAAGTTGGCTATTTTGTTGTACTACGAATTTGTTGATTACCTATCACCACTAACCTCCAGCCCCCACTCAATCTACCATCCTTATTTTCTTCTGCAGCTAATATAGTGCAGAAAGGGACTCGGTTTAACTAGAAGAACTGAATGAACATGAGTTTAAATACACAAATACTATATAATGAAATAGATGTCTAAATTCAGAACCTGCAGTTTATCTGAAAAATTCTTAAAAAAGATAAATCGAATGTAGACCTATTAGCAGAGTAAATGCTTTGACTGTAGCCTTTGAATAATGAGCAGATTTTTGTATTGCCTATCCAGCAGCTAGCAGCATTAGAAAGACCTGGGTAGTTAGAAGGCTACCAACTTGGAATTATTTTTAAAATGTAACATAAAGATGCAAGTTTTAGCAATTAGCTCTGTGGATTGGAAAGAACAGCTCAAATTTATCTCTAGATTAAATCTTGGAAAGAAAGTTTTCCTGGGATTTTTTAGTTTTTAAACCAATTAGTTGAGAAAGAACAGAAATAAGGTGAGACCACACCCATGTAAGCCAATCACCAACACCAGATGGGAGTTCTGTGACCCCTGATATGCAGGGGAATTGTACCTGCTGGCCTTCATGTGGCTTCGATAGCCATTTCGTGCCATTCGTGTCACCGGGCCGAGAGAATGGTATAATCTGTTCCTGTTGGATTCCATTATAAATTGTATATATTACATATACTTTCATTCACACAATCATCATCAGTACCTAGAACAGTATAATAATTTCTTTGTGTAATATAATTTCCTAAATCCTACAAAAGGATAGTATCTGATTGTTCCTCTTTCTTTTTTAAAGCATGCAGCATAGATTACAAAATACTTTTTCTTCTACCATTGACTCTAGAAATATTTATAGATGCCTGGTACATATCATACATTTCTATATATACTTGCTTTCACAAATCTGCTAAAATAATTAAAGAAATATTTATAATTAAATACTATCAAACTTGAAAAATACTTCAAAAATCCTTTTGTTTCTATTCCAGTTCTTGGATCTCAGTTTAAATAAGATCTCAGTTTAAATATGATACCTGGACTTATATAAATAATTCATTTTTATTATATGTCCCCATGAAGACACCTAAAAGCAATGTGGCTCAAATACCTTATTTTCTTCTCTATCCTTTGTATTAAATCCAAAAAAAACTAATAAAAGAGATGAACTGAGTAATAAAGGCATTATTTTATTTCCACATCAACTGAAATAAATAAATAATAAAGCCAATAAATGATAAAAATGCTATGAGTCAATATTTATCCAAAATGGCATGTAATACTTAAACAAAGGAAATACACACACATCGAAACACTGATACTTCTTTGCCTGGGAAAAGCCAAAAGTAGCACTGTTGATAAATGATATTTAAAACAAAAAGCATTATTTTAGCAACTGAAGCAGCAACATATTTGATGTCTCTAGGAAATAAGAACAGAAAATGGCATGTTTTTAACAGTCCGAGTACTATTTTCAAGTACACTATTCACAAGTAGTATTTTAAATCCTACTTCTTTATTCACTTTTTATTATTTCATGTCTGAATCTCGCTGGACAGCATTAATTTGCTCTCAAAATGTTCCAAGAGGCACTGATTTAAACTTGGCACAAGTACAATAGATTTTTTTAGCTGCAAATGTCTGCAAAGCAAAACATTTGTCATAAAAGAAAAATATTATTTTGAGATGTGAAGGTTACATCGTTAAATAATGTCTTCAAAAGTAACCTGCTGGGAAGAGAAGAGATTATTTAACACAACACCATTCTGGTTACTTACTTATAACTCACGCAATCTGCAAAACAATTTTGTTCATCAATATTTTTTATCTAAAGATTACAATACACTCTATAATCAACATCTGATGGTATCACACTCCTTCTAGAGGGAAAGAACTAAGACGACTTGTACAGACAGCATTCTGAAGGCAACTCTTGTGTTTTTTCCTGTTTCAGGCAAACCCAAATAAAGAGATTGAAAGTAAAAGTTGGAAGAAAAATAACATGCAAAAACAAAATTGTTAAGGATCCCCCTAAACAAAGAGAACAAAACTTGGGAACACTGATAATTAGAGTAGAAAGGCTCAAAAGTACTTTGAAATATTGAGTTTATAAGTAAAATCTTCAACATGTAATGGTGAGAAATCTTTAGGAAGTTTCATCAAGAACAAAGATATAATTTTCCAACTAAACAGCATGAAATTAAGCAATTCGAATATAGTTTAATTTCAAATGTATAGTTAGTATAACTGTTTTCTATTAAAAGGTTACTGATAGGGAGTTAGGTAACTAAATATTTTCAACTCCATCAATTTTAATATGACATTCAAAATTCAATCTAAACAACACTCGTCTTACTTAGAAACTTAAGTTGCTTAGTTTATATACAGAAGGGAGTAATTATTTTGGTCAAGAGTCAAGTATCTTTAAGTATGAAAATAGCAGAAGTGAAATGGTCATAGACAATACAGAAGTCCTAATGGACATTTGCTGCAGATGACAGCTTTCATAGCTTAAAGCAATAAGGAAAGGAGAAGGGAGCATGACTTAACAGTATTTCAGTATAAATCTGTGTGCTCTGTGCAAACTTTCAGTTAATGGCAATTTAAATTCAAACTTTAAGCTGCTTTACTTAGAGTATAATTTAAAATTTACTAAGTCATTTGCCTTTGACAAAGTAGCAGAGAATAAAGTTGACCATTCTACTAAATGCCTTCAAATTACTTAAATGAATCAGAATTTAAGGAAATAATTTTACTTTTGAACACATTAGTAGGTAAGTTGACAATGACTGGTTATTATTATTTTTAAATTATAATTTTAAATGTACTAAAATTCAAATACATGTGTCAAGCCACCAAAGAAACATATATTTATTAGATAAGACTCAATTCCAGACTTAAATATCAACTTCTTATTTCTATCACCAGCAGGAAGCTTAAATAGTTCCTTAGAGATATGTAATAAATATTATCTCTTAAAATTCACATTACCATATATTTCAAGACAGACAAAATAAACTCAAAGCAGTTAAAATGGACAATTTTTCTCACCTTTCAAAAGCAGGCCATGAGGTCTCTTCACTTAGTTCAGAACCATCGCTGCTACCTAAAATCAAAAGTTATTCTATTTTTAAACATCAGAATTACAGTTTGAATTTTATATTTTAAAAATAAATTCTCCAACTGTGCTCATAAAATGACAATCATGTTATGTGTGGGTCAACATCCACATATTAATTTTTCATTCTAATATTAATGCTGCTAGCTTTATTTTGCAATATATTGGAATATAGTGACAAGACTATCTAAAATAACAAAATAGCATAAAACATTTTTGCATGTCTACTTATACCTCAGATTCATTATGTTAATAAACAATTTTCCTACCATCAGAGAATGCACATAGGCACAAAATTTTTCCTTATTAGGTTTGTCATAATTTAAGACCAATATAATTATGAAATTCTTAGAGGTTCATGGTATACTTCTTTCCCTTTGTATTTCTTTTAAAACCCATTACTATCCTAAGGATAAAAAGCTTAATGAAATGCCATTTTTGCCTCGAGAGGCAAGGTAGAAGAGGACGGACTCTCTATATTTAAAAAAAAAATCATTTAAAATAGAAAGTTTCAAAATAGCTAAAGAAAAAACTGAGAAGAATGAATTTGGAGAATCCAAAACAGCTTAGATTGATTTAAAAGTTATTTTAAAAATAATTCTATCTCTCATTAAAACTGATGATTAATATGTCCTTTACAGATCCAGCTGAATTGTCTACCAGACTTTCACAACCAGTGTTCAATGCAAGAGACAAACTCTAATGCTATAAGGTATCCATTATATGTCATGGATTAACATCTCTTCTATGCATTTAGAATGGCACTAGCTGTGTACCATCCTTGACAGAACAGAATAACAGTCACTGAAATAATTTTCTGGTTGTGTGGTTCAGATGAGAAACCAGAGGTAATCTGTTGTTGCTGGTGGGATCTCGTAGATTATCTTTCGAATGGTAGCATTATGTGGTAAAGCCTGAAAATTTAAGCATAATTAGTATGACTTATAGGAAAACGTAAGCTTTTCCAGAAGCACGAAGCTCAGAGCGGCTATGCCTCCCTTAGCTAGGCGAGACTACTTATGTTATCCAGGACATCTATACCACAGCAGAATATGTTAGAGGCCACTGTCCCAAGCATTGGTTAATTTCTCCAGCGTACTTTCTCAAAGCCTCCATAGCATAGATTGGTATTGTATGTAACAGTTACAGCTAAGGAAGAAACTCTTTTGTGATCATGAAGTGTGCATGTGTGTGTGTGTGTTAACATCTACCATCTACGGTTACAAACTTACTTTTTAGAATGTTAAAGCCTTAAAACAAAAACCCTGGAAGGTAATGTCTATGTCTAATGTTGTTAATTTACAAACAAGGATGTAATAATCTTTACTGTTTATCTACTTAACGGCCTTAGAATAATTGAAAAACAAATACAAAGGCAAAAATTAAAATAGTTTCTTCCTGTTCTAAAAGAAAGAGTTCCAAACTGAGAAATTAACTTTAACTAAATGAAATGACTAGATAACTATCTTGCAGTAACCAAAAGAACATCCATAGAAAGTAAAAGCCACAAATAAATTAGAGAATAATAACTATCATTATAATACTTATGATAAGAAAAAGCCAAATATTTTATATATATTTAATTTAGAGCTGTAATTTTAAAAATTATTTTTTGCTTTAAGTAGCATGCCAGATTCCATAAGTGTAACAAATTTTTAACTGGAAGAAAGTTCCTCCTTTCTTTTTTACAAAATCACTCTTTTTGTTTTTCAGATTGAGGCTGATATAGGCAATATATTGCATATTATACATACATGTTGATATACCACATATAGGCAACTTACAGCATTAATAAAGAGGTATTTCAGATAACCAACTTGTCTTCTATTTTGTAAATTTTGTCATCATTTAATCATCTGCATGTATAAAGGGAATATCAGAATAAAAAACTGCTGAATGGTGCTGAAAGCTCTAAAGCAATTTCGTTCTCAGGGTCTGGAACTCTCAACGGTTAAGGAAGTCAGTATGTTCAAGAAAATGAACTCATTCTGCATTTCTTTCTATTAACTGTTCATCAATATTGAGATGATCATATTAATAAAATAGGCTTAATTAGCCTTTGAGCAACCTGGCACTTAATCATAGAGGACGACATTTTCCTCCTTTATTTCTTTTTAAAAATAAAAACAGCGTTGTATGGAGATTTTCAAATTATCAAAAGAAATAATGCTCATCTAGAAGATTCAGAAAATAAATAAAAGTTTAGGAAGTAAAAACAAATTCCTCTCTTAATCCCACAACCCTTTCTAACATGGTCCTGATTTTCTGCTCCCCGTCATAGTCGCTCTTTCTATCTCCTCATCTCTCCTTCTCCAACCTACTCCATCAGGGCTTTGCCCCCACTATTCTATGAAGCAACTCTTGTCCAGGTCGCCAATGATTTTTATCTTGCCAAATCCACTGATCATTCCCATTCTCATCTTACTTCTCTTTGTTTGCATTTCATATTGACACATTCAATACTTCCCTCCTCCTGGAGACATTTCCTCTACTGGGCTTTTGTGACACCACACCCTAGTTTTTTCCCCTACTTCACTGGTCCTTCCTTTGTAGCTTCCTTTGATGGCCCACGCTTTTTTAAAAAATAATTTAATCAGACCTCTAAATGTTAGAATGTCTTCTCTTATTTATTTACACTCTCTCCCTAGGTAACCTCAACCAGTCCCATGGCTTGAAAATACTATAAATATGCTAACTCCTGTACTTTATATATCTAGAGACCTGACTTTACCCCACTGAGCTCCAGATTCACACATTCGATTACCTACCTGACAACTCCATATAGACCAAACATGTCCAAAACAGAATTCTTAATTCTCCAAAGCCAGTCATCCTTCACAAATCTCTCACCACTTGCAAATGATTGATCTTCCAGTCTTCTCTACCTTGGTAATAGCACCACCATCTAACTGCTTATTCCAAAAAACTGCTAGTCATATCTGACTCTGTCCTTTTCCTCATTCCCACATCCAAACTGCCTTCACTAACCGATTCAACCAATCCACGTTCTCTTCCCACCATTCCTCAAATGCCTCCCCTTTTGGAGTCAAAAACATCAAGCACTTTCTAAACCATCATAAATTATTAACTTCAGTAGCTTGTAGTAAGATGATCCTATCTAATTGCTACTTCGCTTTTATCAAATCTCTATTTGTAGTAGGGTTTCTACTACTCTATTGGTAGTAGGGTTAATGACATTTTCCCAGCTGAGTTTTGTTAAAAATCTCATTTACATAAGTTGGAACCCTCTCAGAGAAATATTTCTCACCTATTGATATTCCACTAGAAAGAGTAGAACTTTCAGCTTGGCCTCGAGATGGTGCATGGGGTTCCATGACGCTATCATCTAACAGATGTCTTGGCCCTGCATTTGGGAACGTTGCACTCTTAAACTCTGCTGTGTTCATTTTATGAATGAAACTGGAAACAAAGAGAAATATTTTTCATATCTTTTATTACTGTTACTAATTCAAGATATAAAAGATACTCTCATATAAAGATTCAGGATATAAAAGATTTACCTGATATCCTGAACTTACTTCTGAACTCTCATACTAATGAACACATAGATTTTACCATGAAAGCCTCAAACTAACAGTTTAGGGAAAACTTTTTAGGAAACCAAGTCATATCTACCTACGTAACAGGGAATACTTTAATTTCATCTTGAGTCTCAGGTCCATTAAAACATTGTTTTCACAATCACTTTTGGAAAATAGCTATTAAATTTTTATAAAAATCACAGGCAAAGGTGAACCCTGGGCCCCATTTTGAGAAAACAATCTTGCCAAGCTAAGGAAGTTAAACAAGAAATCAGTTTTCCTTTCTTTATATTTAGAAATAAAAAGAACAATTTTTATAGACCTTAATTTATGGTGACATTTTAGCTAAGACAAGCAATGACTGTCTTGACATAAAGGTTATAAAAGGAAGGTTATTAGGTTATTAAAAGGAAAACGGTATACTGCTTTCCTGATTTTATTTATGATGATGCTCTATAATGTTCATTTATCTCCCCCAAATGTGAAGGCACTGTTGGGAAAAACTCATTTCGAAATTAAGGTAAAGGAAGAAATAAATACTTTAGGCAAGCAAGATATTTTACTGAAGCAGAAGAAGGCTATTATACAAATAAAACTTTGTAAGGACACTATTTTCTGTTTCATTAATAAATAGAAAATAAATCCAACTAGAAACAACTTAAAAATTTGAAAGATGAAATTAAAAATGCTGACTTATAACCCAAGCTATGGCACTTCCTGTGTCCGTGTGGAATCAGGTTCCGAGGGGATGGTGGTGTCTGTGGCAGCAAAGCTCCTTCAGCTGCCAAACTTTTTCTTCCACTTTGTGGAGATGCTCCTACTTCAGGACCTAAGAGTTATAGTAAAAAAAAAAGAGAGAGGGAGAAAAATTTTCAGATGGTTTCAAAATATGGTTTTATTTTTAATCCCTTGATATAAAAGATAAAATGTGGTTTAAATTTTAAGATAATATTAACGTTAATTCTGTTTAACTGACTGAATATGAGAAATATTTTCCGAGTCTTAAAACATAAAATCCCCAAACATACAAAATTAATTAATTTCTATCTATCTTACTTGCACTAAGTAGGCAGTATAAATATTTTGCCCCTTAATAGTGAAAGAAGCAGAATTAGAAGAGATGGGCTCAGGATCTCACAACAGATGAAACCTGGACTAAAGACTTTGGTCTCTGAGGCCCAGTTTAGTGCTCATTTAATTTTACACACTGCTTCTTTACTCTTAGTTTCAGTTTCCTCTTAGATAAAGAATGTATAGGGTAGGTCAAGCATTCAAGTTAGAATTTAAATCTATATTCATATTGTTCAAGTTTATGGGAATTAAAAAAACAGAACTCAAAAGTATACAGATTTGCAAAACACCCCTAAGAATAAAAAAGAAAAGCAAATTTAAGAGATTTAGACTGAAATGTTTTCCTCTGCTTGGAATACTCTTCCCTCTAGTCATGGCTTGTTCTCTCACTTCCTTCACATCTTATTAGATGGGCTTTCAAATAGTTTTAGAATATACAATGATATGAAGCTTAGTGCCAAGGTCTGTATTTGGAATTTAAAAAAAAGGTACTTATCAATGATTTCTTAAATAATGAGTAATTCTCTTCAATTTTTTTTGGTGAGGAAGATTGGCCCTGAGCTAACATCTGTGCCAATCTTCCTCTATTTCGTATGTGGGTCGCCGCCACAGCATGGCTCGATGAGCAGTGTGTAGTTCCGCACCTGGGATCCGAACCCGCAAACCCTGGGCTGCCAAAGTGGAGTGTGTGAACTTAACCACTACGCCACTGGACTGGCCTCTTCAATTTTATATTTTTGATTATGTGTGGTATACGTATAATATCCCTATTATAATGCAACAGGTAAATTATAGTAATATTTTCAGTACTTGGCCCAGTATTAGAGTGAAATTTTTTTTTTTTGTGAGGAGATCAGCCCTATGCTAACATCTGCCAATCCTCCTCTTTTTTTTGCTAGTAAGACTGGCCCCAGGCTAACATCCGTGCCCATCCTCCTCCACTTTATACGGGACGCTGCCACAACATGGCTTGCCAAGCAGCATGTCGGTGCGCGCCCAGGATCTGAACTGGCGAACCCCAGGCCGCCGCAGTGGAGCACGTGCACTTAACCGCTTGCGCCACCGGGCCAGCCCCTAGAGTGAAATTTTTAAAAAATTAAGTCACTAAAATGGATTTGTATAATCATTCAGACTAGTAGAATTTTCCACTTAGACCACAGAAATTTCTAATGTAATCAACCCTCATTGCCCAGGACAGTGTATTCTTAATAAAAAAAAAAGAACAGGTATTCACTAAACACTTACCTACTATTTCCCATCTGTTGATCTATTTTCCTTGATTAGTTGGCCTATTTGTACATTACTGACAAACTACAAGTAACAACTTTTTAATTAAAAAACAAAAAAACCCAAACAGAAAAAACTGATATATTTTAATACCAAAAATAAATTTTTACATGAAGTATAAAATGTGCTAAGTATTTATTGACTTTGGAGTATATTCTTTCTTATTAGGTTATCTGATTTATTATTTGGTAATGGGAGAAAACTATGCACTAACCTACTAAATCTTCCCTGGAAGCAGCAGAACGTGGTGTGCTTGTCCCTGGTTCTATCTTTAATGAAAGCCTGAATTTTAAAAAGAAACAAACACATAAAATGATTAACATTTGACAAAATAATATTAAAATCATGTATTTTCTCACAGAAAACTAAAAACATTTTTATCAAATAATCTCAGATACATAATTTTCTTTAAGAGCAATCTTTAATAGTTAAGTCTTCTATCTCTTTCATACAAAGCTGATCTTATGGTTATTCTAGGAAATATTAGGGAGGGGAAAAACATTAAAAAGTCACATTTAAAAACAGAAAAATCTCCCCAAAGTACCCCAACACTGCCAAGCAATTCGACACATTTAAACATACTTGATGAATGACTCAAAGGTGATTTAACTTGAGGTTTTATTGATACCAGAACACTTAAATTAAGGAACTTACACATATTATATTAAATATATTATGCAAATTCTTTCTAGAATCTTTATTGGACGGGCTAACTGGCCTCTGTAGCACTGAAAATTTCAAAAACACCTTATTAAAACTAACCATCCAAAAAACAAACCAACTCAACTTAGCAAAAGAAAGATCTCTATAAATAAAAAGGTTGTTTGCAAAATTCCCGGTAAATCCCTGTCCTAAATCAAAGTTTATTAGTTGGTACTTAAGTTCTTTTTAGGATAATATATCCAGTTTTGAGTTCCATGGCAAAAAGAGATTATGATTCCTATCAGTGGAAACTATTTCAGGAAACAGGATCTTAAAGTAGCTGCAGAAAATACTTCAGTGTAGTCCCTGAAGCCTATAATTATTAAGCATTTGTCTGAAAATTAATAAAGACTTTTTATTTTTTAGCATTCTACCAACTGGAATTTTTTTATGAAATTGCACAATACAGTACAAGTGACACTCATAATAAATCTATGATAGGTTCTTAACTTATTATTTCTCTGATCACCTAAGAGGGAATTATATATGATTATATTCCAATCAATTGACAGTATAAAATGCATGTACTGAAGAGATGTATGATTAACCAGAACTCTCTACTCTTTTTCTTTTTACAGAGCAGTTTACTTAAATTATTTGGTCTACAGACTATACTGAACTCATTCATTTGATAAATGGCTATTGAACACTGTGCTCTCAGCACTGAAATATAACAGACTAAGGCAGACATGGTGTCCCTGCCCTTCTGAAGCTTACAGTCTAGTAGGTGAAAGACAAAGAAGTAAACAAAATAACCACAATTTCCTAACGCAGAACCAAAATAGAAAGGAACAGAAAGAAAGTTATGGATGAATCACATTGCTATCAGTAGCAGCTGGTAACTGACAGCAGTATAAAAAGCAGAAGCATCTTAAAAAGCAGAGCAGTGAAGGCTAGTCAGAGTGTCAGCTGCCTGTACCATCACCAAAACACCATATAATAACACTGATGCTGATTCACTGAGAAAAGATATTATGAGTATCAAAATGAAATGACTTAGAAAGATTTTCATCCTGATTAAAACACACGCATGTAATCTGTAATATCTATACTGGCTGTCTATACAGATAAGTTACCAAAAACAGAGGCCTTTGGGTAAATGAAGTATCTTTCATCACAAAATCCATTTTTTTCTAACTAATAATTTTAATGACTATTATCTTAAAATGCTCCGATTTTCAACACATTTAACCAATAGGCTCATGCAATACGACTGTATCTTTAGAAAAAAATCTCTCTTCTCCAGTCTCCCATGTGATGCCCCAGCACCTTCAAATGACCTGTAGTTCCCCAAGTGCACACACTGTTTCCCACCCCATTCCTCTAATCATTCCATCCCCTGGAACGCCTTTCCTTACCCTTCATGTGGAGCTAACTCCTACTCACCTGGCAAGATTCAGCCTCAGGTGACACTGTCTCCTTAAGCAGTTCATGTTTCTTTTATCTTCATTTTTCCCACTTAAAGCTGAGTTAACGTCTCCCCTAACTATGTTCCTATAGCATATCTCTATTACGGTACTATTCGAACTGTTTTGTAATCATTTGTTTTGTGGATGTGTCTTGCATTAGACTGAGCTTCTTAAGGGCAAGAACAAAATCTTATTTTTGCAATCCCAGCAACTAGCACAATAACTCACCTACAGCAAAAGCTTAATAAATATTTGTTAAATGAATATAATGAGAAAGCTCCTCTGGTTCTAGCTATTCATGAAAACAAAAACAAATATAATAGCATCAGTTTTCCTACAAAAATGAAGGTATCTTATAATATGTCAGTTTACAGAGAGTTAAAAATACTTAACGGCTTAAATGGCCAATGCTATCCTTTTAGCAAAGTAAAAATATGCTTAAACACTTCAGTACACTTTTACTATAGTCATTAAAAATTTACCTTCCTCTACAATTGTGCAACAATTTCTTAGACTTCACTTCTATTTAATACTTAAATTTCAACTTCTTTTAAATCTAATAAGTTTCCTGAGCCAGAGAGAGAAAATTTTAATAGCTACTTACTCATATTTTGAGTTTTAAGATACTCTTCTATACCTCACTGGACAAAATGTGAGTGTTTTGTGCTACGTAAGTAATTAGAGAGATGGGAGAAATAGTGGTAAATATAAAATACAGACCATCAAACTCAAGAAGTTTACAACCGAGGGCAACAAAAGATTTGTGAAATAATTCCAGCCTTAAAAAGCTGATCCACTGACCTCATACATTTTTTTTTTTTTCTGGCCAGGAAGATTGGCCCTGAGCTAATACCTGTCGCCAACCTTCCTCTTTTCGCTTGAGGAAGATTGTCGCTGAGCTAACATCTGTGCCAATCTTTCTCTACTTTGTATATGGGATGCCGCCACAGCACGTAGGTCCGTGCCCGGGATCCAAACCTGTGAATCCCGGGCCACCAAAGCGGAACACGCGAACTTAACCACTATGCCACTGGGCCAGCCCCGCCCTCATACATTTTCAAATGAATTACCAGGTAAAAACTTTCTGTAAAATAAAAATTGAAATAGAAATACGAAGTGGTAATATATATGGTGTGGGGGAGGAGATGGCAATACAAGTGTTCTCCAATATTAATAAAATTTTAGATACATTTAAGCATATAGCCAGAGCTTCTTAATATATCTAATATTTGAAGGCAACTTATTTCTAGTTGTTTTCCAGAATTTCTAGCCTTTTATTGGTACTTATTCTGTTCTGCAGAATTCTTTAAAAAATCGCTGACATTTATGGGACAAGGAAGTTGATAAACACTATCATACAAGAAAAAAATTTTAAATAATGCATTAATATTGAAAAATAACCTAGTCTTACACTTGGTAAATTTTTAAAGTATGATCCTCTATTGGAAAAAATATTTGTGGAAGACACAAAGTTAAATTTGAAAGCTTGGGAACAACTGGCATAATAAAGCTGAGTAAAAAAAATTTTTTTTAAATTAACGAAGCTAAAAGAAAAATGAAAAGCCTCAAGAGAAATAAGCTCTTTATCATCCCATCTTTAGGAAAAAGTTATCATGTACAGCATACTACTGAAAAATAAAAAGGGTTAGGGGCTGGCCCGGTGGCGCAGTGGTCGAGTTCGCATGCTCCGTTTTGGTGGTCCGGGTTTCGCAGGTTTGGATCCTGGGCGCAGACCTACACACCACTCATTAAGCCATGCTGTGGTGGCATCCCATATACAAAATAGAGGAAGATTGGCAAAGATGTTAGCTCAGGGCCAATCTTCCTCACCAAAAAATATATACATATATATATATAAAAATAAAAAGGGTTAATAATTCAAAAATTCCTCCCACTTTGGGCAGTACTGTGTATAAGGAGAAGGAAATGGATATCAGCTATTTTAAAAGTGATTTTTAAAATCCTTAATAAAGGACTTGCTGTAATAGAGGAAAGGGTTGAGTGTGGTGTTACTTTGGAAAAATGTGTCTCTGACTCAGAGGCAAGAAGGTTCAATAGTCTCTCAATCTACAAAAACAATTGAAAACAAGTTCAAAGATGTGTCAAAAATTACCAGTGAAAAACGAGTAATTTTTCTATTTGTAGATCATTTCATTAATTTTTCAGTCTATTAAAAGATAAATTACCATAAAGACTCAGTGCTTGAATATAGAGGGAAAGGAAGAAATTTAAACTAGAACTATCAAACATCAGCTCTCAACAACTTGAGAAAGATGAAATACTTTTTAATAAAAGATCAGACGAGGTATTTTTTTATATGGGCTCAATTGTACTAAGTTATTAAAAAGAAACACATGTAAATACATGTAAATGTATTAGGCACTTGTATGACACGATGTAGGATTTAGATGTTTAAATATGGGGATGAAAGCATGCAGGACAGGACCAAGTCATACAAACCACTTTTGAAGATCCAACCTACTTGTAATTATCATCTTCCACAAACTTTTGTAGTTCTTCTATATATTGAACAGAGTTCAGATATTTTTGGACATGAGGCAACATGGGAATATCTAGGCAAAACATGACAAATAATTAATTATCTGATAAAGTATATCTTTATTAGAATTTTAAAAGTTAAGCTGAAAAAAATATATTTAAAGGTAAATTAAGGCCACATGGCACCAAAATTTAAATTAAATCTAGAAGAACATTACTGAGGTAAATTTTATTTAATGTAAAACTGAAGGTAATTTAGAAAATTACAGCTGCATGCTGTTTGTATAAAAAAAAAAGCTCCATTTACAAAGTCTCATACATTTGAGAAATTTCATAGAAAAAAAATCAGAGACTTCATTATGATTTATATTCAAATCTCATCTAAACACAAGATGTAAGGGCAGTTATTATTATTTTTTACAGAAGCCTGGCTGCCATTTGTAAATATGTATTTTCCTCCCTTACTTAGAAATTGCAAATAAAATTAACATTACAATTTGGTGTTATGTTAAAAAAATTTGAGAAAAGGAAAAAAATAAGAGATTATTTGATTTAACTTTCAGTAAGATTCTCCCCCTCCCATCCCACACACTTTTAGGAAGTTTTTGAGGTTTTCTTAAAAGTATACAGATGCATGTAAGTAAAGTTAGCTTTAAGATAAATTTATTTTAAACAAATCAGATAATGTAAACTTTTTAACACCACATGTATTATATATCAACAGCCTATCTTTATTCTCTATCAAATTGGAAGTATCTAAACATTTTAAAACATTAAAAAAAACCCACCAAAACCCTTTTCTAATCATTTGGGCTTTTGTAAGCTCTTTCTACATTTGTGTTTCCATAAAATACATCTTAGACCAAAATTGGTTATTTCCTCATTATCAGGCTCAAGAAAGCTAGTCAATTGTTACTGGGATCAAGGGTCTCGGCTCCTTCCCTAACTGAAAAATATGAGAACTATTTACACAATAGACCAGGAGATCAAATGAGATGAACAGAAAATAATTTTGCAAATTATGTTAGCAAAGTTGCTACAAAATGGCAGAAGAGCAAAAGATAAAACTTAAAATTTTTTTTTAAATTTAATTTTTTTTAATTGATGTCAATAGTTTATAACATTGCGAAATTTTGGTTGTACATTTTTGTTTGTCAATCACCATATACATGTCTCTTTTCACCTCTTGTGCCCATCCCCCACCCCCATTGCCCCTGGTAACCACAATACAGTTTTCTCTGTCCATGTGTTGGTTTATATTCCACATATGAGTGAGATCATGCGGTGTTTGTCTTTCTCTTTTTGGCTTATTTCACTTAACGTAATACTCTCCAGGTCCATCCATGTTGTTGCAAATGGGACTATTTTGTCTTTTTTTATGGCTGAGTAGTATTCCATTGTATATATATACCACATCTTCTTCATCCAATCATCAGTCGAGGGACACGGGTGGCTTCCACTTCTCGGCTATAGTGAATAATGCTGCAATGAACATACGGGTGCATAAGCCTCTTTGGATTGTTGATTTCAGGTTCGGTGAATAGATTCCCAGTAGTGGGATAGCTGGATCATAGAGTATTTCTAGTTTTAATTTTTGAGGAATCTCCATACCATTTTCCATAGAGGCTGCACCAGTTTGCATTCCCACCAGCTGTGTATGAGGGTGGTTCCCGTTTCTCCACATCCTTTCCAACATTTGTTGTTTTTTGTCTT